TTTATCCTGATTTGGCTGGGCAAATATGCACCCCTCATTCCCAGGTCTTAAATACTGCAGAATCAACGGCCATGTGGTCGCTTCGCTCCAAACTGTTGCAGCCTCACTCTGCATCTTGCAAACAAAGAGGGGAGTCAACCTCTTCTCCAAAGCACCTGAAGGCAGGACAAGAAGCAACAGATGGAAACTAATCAAGGAGAGAAGCAACCTGGAATTAAGGAGAAACTTCTTAACAGCGAGGACAATTAACCAGTGGAACGTCTTACCTCCAGAAGTTGTGAATGCTCCAACACTGGAAGTTTTGAAGAAGTTATCGGACACCCCGTTTCTCTGAAATAGTATAGAGTCTCCGTGCCTAAGCAGGGGCTTGGACCAGTGGTGGGTTCCTCCCAGTTCCGCCTGGTTCCGCAGAGCCGATAGCGGTGACGATACGACGTCACCGAATCAGTTCTGCCCCCCCCACCCCTCGCGTTATTCTTACCTTTTATTTGGCCCCACCCCCACTCTATTGCTGCCTGCTGAGTCCCAGCTGATGGCTAGAGGGGAAAAAAAGCTGTTTAAACTCTTGCCGCGGGGCTTCAAAGGGCCGCCCTACAGCTGATCAATGTTAAAAGAAAACAAATGTGTAGACCGGTGCCTGCAAAAATACATGAGTAGATCAGTGCCTGCAAAAATAAATGGGTAGATCAGTACAGCTCTGCAAGCAGTTAAAAGCCTGGTAGACCAGTACCTCTGCTAAATCCTAAATAATTGTCACATGACCATCAAGCCACACCCACTAAATAAGCCGTGCCCACAGAACCGGTAGTAAAAAAATTTAGAACCCATCCTTGGGTTGGACTACTTGGACTCCAAGCTCCCTTCCAATTCTGCTACTCTATTACTCTTACACCTTAGCGACAAGCTTCGAGGGGGGAGGGTGAAAATGTGGGTGTTCCTCGCCTTCCCTTTTGCCTTTGTATGAATTTTTTGCCCGCTGCATTCCCAAGCAACGCCGTTGTGTGGCACCCACCCACCCGTTCGAGAGAATACAAGCATTAATTATGAACGGCTTAAAAAAAAATGAAGGATGCCAGTCAGGTTCCAAAAGAGCTGCTCCTTTCATCACTTTGTATGAAGAGGGCACCGTTCCAGTTTGGCAAAAGCACAAAGGAAAAGAATAAAAAAAAATAAAAAAAAAACCCAACAAGTACAGAAGATTTTTCTCAGAGCAAGAGTAGCTTTGGTGTGAATTTTACTGATGCAAAAGCGCATGGAGAGTAGAGGAAAACCATCCTTCTGAATGGAGAAACTTTGCCGAAGAATTAAAATTAAATATTAAAATTAAAATTATACTCACTCTGTCAAGGACCTTGGGAGTACTTATCTCCAACTGTCTTTAAGTGCCAGAGCTCACTGTTAACAGCGTTGCCAAAAAGGCACTAAGAGTTGTTAACCTAATTTTGCGAAGCTTTTTTCTCCGGTAACACTGTACCGCTAACTAGGGCATACAAAACCTTTGCCAGACCAATTCTCGAATACAGCTCGTCTGCCTGGAACCCGCACTGTATATCAGACATTAATATAATCGAGTGGGTCCAGAGGTATTTCACGAGAAGAATCCTCCACTCCTCTGCTCACAATAGAAGCCCTTATGCCACCAGGCTTGAAATTTTGGGCTTGGACAATCTGGAACTGCGCCGCCTGCGGTCCGATCTAAGCATAGTACACAACATTGTCTGCTACAACCTCCTACCTGTCAACGACTACTTCAGCTTCAACTGCAATAATACACGGGCAAACAATCGATACAAACTCAAGGTAAACCGCTCCAAACTCGATTGCAGAAAATACGACTTCAGCAACAGAGTGGTCAATGCCTGGAATGCACTACCTGAGTCCGTTGTTACATCCTCAAACACCCATAGCTTCAACCTTAAACTGTCTACCATGGACCTCACCCCATTCCTAAGAGGTCCGTAAAGGGGGGGCGTGCATAAGCGCACCAGCGTGTCTACCGTCCCTGTCCTACTGTCCCCATTTACTTGTACTCATTTCATGTGCTCATGTCCATGTTTATACCTATACCTGTTATCTCGTACGTGTTTGAAAAACTAAATAAAATAAAAAATAAAATAAAATAAAAATATACTGCATAGCGATAGGCAGAACACGATTCAAGTAGAGGAAGAAAACAAAACTCGTGTACCGGTGTGTATATATAGCTGGTTAATGGATTTTATTTTCCTATTTGCTACTCTTTTGAGACTATAGATCTGTGACGGCGAACCCGTGGCACGTGTGCCACAGGTGGCATGCGGATCCATGTCGCCTGGCACGCCAGCTCAGCTCTGGCGCCAGCTGATTTCCATTCCCACCCCACTCCAGGGGAAGGATACTGCAAAATCTCCATTCCCTCCCCACTCCAGGGGAAGGATATTGCAAAATATCCATTCCCACCCCACTCCAGGGGAAGGATACTGTAAAATCTCCATTCCCTCCCCACTCCAGGGGAAGGATACTGCAAAATATCCATTCCCACCCCACTCCAGGGGAAGGATACTTCAAAATCCCCATTTCCTCCCAATCAGCTGGGACTCGGGAGGCAGAGAATAGATGGGGGCGGGGCCAGCCAGAGGTGGTATTTACCGGTTCTCCGAACTACTCAAAATTTCTGCTACCGGTTCTCCAGAACTGGTCAGAACCTGCTGTAACCCACCTCTGCTTAGGATGTTTTGGAAGGCTGTCTTTTACTGGTTTCTTTTCGGAGAGAGAGAGCTGAAATTCTCCCGTAAAAGTGGTGGTAGTGGGGAGAATCTCGATACCAATTCTATAAGTCAGCAGAAGATCAGAGGCAAGATTTAACTCGAGCGAGTCTTGAAGCGTCCCCCAATTGATTGACGTCCCCAAATGAGGATGAGTTAGCATAAGGTTATGTGAATCCGCTGAGGTTTCCGGAATGTTGCTAATAATACTAAATAGCAAGACCATCCATGCGAGCTGTTTAGCAGCTGTAGTTTCATCTGTTTCGGTTGTAACAGGGGGCGGTTGTATCTTCTGCAGCTTTCCTTCTAACACCAGCTGCCTCCAGAATTGGACACCAATTCTTTCATTCCCAAACGGTTCGTGCTCGGATTATGTTTCTTTAGGAACGATGTAGACAAATGCTTAACACAAGATAGTCCGCGGTTTACTAGCAGTTCTTTTGGACATCTGTCATAATCTTATCAGCTATATGTGATGTTTAGATGACTTTAGTTCCAACTTTATCAACTCTATGAAAGCTGGTTAATAATGAAGTTAACAAAGGCTGGAGGTTAAACCCCAGGAAGGATGCTTGCCTAGTCTAGTCTAGTGAAAAGAAGGACTTAGGAGGTGACATGATGGGTGTTGTGGCCCACCAGCGGCCAACGGAGCTGGTGGCAGATTCGGACAGTGAGGAGGTTGGGGAGGAACATGGGCCAGTCCTGGAGTCTGGGGAAGGCTCTGCGTCAGAGGCAGAGATGGGGCCAGGGCCATCTGACAGTTGTCAGCTGCCTTCGGAGTCAGACATCAATGGGGCAGAAGAACAGCTGGAGCCTGTTCCAGGGGCGAAATCCAGCAGGTTCTGACAGGTTCTGGAGAACCGGTAGCGGAAATTTTGAGTAGAACCGGCAAATACTACCTCTGGCTGGCCCCAGAGTGGGGTGGGAATGGAGATTTTGCAATATCCTTCCCCTGGAGTGGGGTGGGAATGGAGATTTTGCAGTATCCTTCCCCTGCCACATCCATCGAGCCACGCCACGCCTACCAAGCCATGCCCACAGAAACGGTAGTAAAAAAAAATGAATTTCACCACTGACTTGTTCCCAGTGTGCGCATGCACAGAGCTGCCAGGAGAAGGGAACAGCTAAGAAATAAGGGTCAACTCAGGAGTAAAGCCACAGGTGGACAGTGAATGGCCCCTCCCATAGGGAATAAAGAGGAGCGAAAGGGGGGGGGAGTTTGCAGGAGACAATTAGTTCAATTCATTAGAGTGAAGATCTATTCCTGACTTCTTGCCAAGTATTGTCTACTACAGATATCGGCCTGGCAACTCTCCAAGCCTGATCAAGGTCTGTAGTTGTGAAATCTCTTGAAAGACTGTTGGCCGGAACTTTGCTGGAGAGGAATTCCCTTTAAACTAAGGAAAAGGGGGTTTTATTGGGACGAGGAGTTGGCTTCGTGCTTTTGGGAAGCCTAGGTCAGAGCAATGGTGGACTTCCAATATTTTAGGGGCTGCCCCCAAGAAAAGGGGGACAACCTATTCTCCGAAGCACCTGAAGGCAGGACAAGAAGCAACGGATGGAAACTCATCAAGGAGAGAAGCAACTTAGAACTAAGGAGAAAATTCCTGACAGTGAGAACAATTCATCAGTGGAACAACTTCCCAGCAGAAGTTGTAGGTGTTCCCTCATTGGAGGTTTTGAAGAAGAAACTGGACTGCCATTTGTCCAGAATGGTGTAGGGCCGTGATAGCGAACCTATGGCACGCGTGTCACAGGTGGCACACGGAGCCATGTCGCCTGGCACGCCAGCTTAACTCCAGGAGTCTCTGGAGGCTGGGGACAGCAAAAAACAACACTTCCTGTCCAACTGGAAGTTGGGAAATGGGCCGTTTCGGGCCTCCGAGGGGGTGGGGAAGACTGTTTTCGCCCTCCCCAGATGCATAGAGAGGATCTGGAGCCAGGTGAGAAAAAAAAACGGGCCATCACGCGCCAAGAGGGGGGGACGGGGGGGGGGGGTCACGCACACATGTGCGGGGCGGGGCACATAGAATTATGGGTGTGGGCATGCGCGCGCGTGAACCTCCCCTGCCCCCCCTTCCTGGCACGTGATGGCAAAAAGGTTAGCCATCACTGGTGTAGGGTTTCCTGCCTGAGCAAATCTAATCCATCATGGTTGGATTAGAAGACCTCCAAGATTTCTTCCAACTCTTGTTATTCTGTTAAGTCGGTTGCAACTATGTAGACTAAATGTGATCTCATCTCTTTTAATTTTAGGGATTTATCTCCTGGACTTAATCTACATCGATTCAGCCTATCCAGCTTCCGGCAGCATCATGGAGAACGAACAAAGATCTAATCAAATGAACAACATTCTCCGAATCATTGCTGATTTGCAAGTCTCTTGCAGCTACGGTTGGTAAATTTGCTCCCTCGTCCGTGTTAACCAGCTTAGTAAATTAGAATCAGATGTCTCCCTTATGTGAAAGTTGGCCTTGAAGTTTAACCTTCTGTGCTGCTCAGTCATTTGGTTTCCACCATCTTGTATACATTATTAGTTCTAGGCAATTAGATTTTATTGTCTTGGTGGCGAGGTTTGCAGATGTCTGTATGTGGGTCAGTGGTGAAGGGATATGTTTCCCTTTTCATTTTACGGATAAATCCCATTGCAGATATTGGTTATAACTTCATCAACTATATAAACTTGGTTGTAAACTTTATCTGCTCCATGAGCTGGGCAGCCCTTTGGTTTAGTTTCTCTTCCGATTTTAGGGGACCCTGTTCATTTTCTCCCGTGTTACATGCTGACCTAAGCTGTGAGTTGTTTTTGAGTTTTCCCAGATTCAGGTTTCTGAACTTCCACTTAATAGCGATAGCATCTTAGACTTATATACCACTTCCAGCCCTCTCTAAGCAGTTGACAGAGTCAGCATATTGCTCCCCCAATGATCTGGGTCCTCGATTTACCGATCTTGGGAAGACGGAAGGCTGAATTAACCTTGAACTACTCAGGCTTGAACTGCTGGCAGTCAGCAGAATTAGCCTGCAGTACTGCATTCTAACCACTGCACCACCATGGCAGTAGAGTAGAGTAGAGTAAAATAGGGTAGGATAAAGTACAGTAAAACAAAATTAGAATTAGAATTAGAATTAGAATTAGAATTAGAATTAGAATTAGAATTAGACTGTGGAATGGAATGGAATAGAATGGAATGGAATATGAATTATGAATGGAATGGAATATGAATTATGAATAGAGTAGAGTAGAGTAGAGTGAATAGAGAATAGAATAGGAGTGGAGTGGAGTGGAATATGAATTATGAATAGAGTAAAGTAGAATAGAATAGAGAATAGAATAGAATAGAAATAGAATAGAATAGAATAGAATAGAATAGAATAGAATAGAATAGAAGCGGAATGGAATGGAATGGAATGGAATGGAATATGAATTATGAATAGAGTAGAGTAGAGTAGAGTAGAATAGAGAATAGGAGTGGAATGGAATGGAATATGAATTATGAATGGAATGGAATGGAATATGAATTATGAATAGAGTAAAGTAGAATAGAATAGAATAGAATAGAATAGAATAGAATAGAATAGAATAGAATAGAATAGAATAGAATAGAATAGGAGTGGAATGGAATGGAATGGAATGGAATAGAATTATGAATTATGAATTATGAATTATGAATTATGAATTGAATAGAGAATAGAGAATAGAAAATAGACTTATGCACCGCTTCACAGTGCTTTACAGCCCTCTCTAAGCAATTTACAGAGTCAGCATATGGCCCCAACAATCTGGGCAGTTGTAGTCGTAAGTCAAGGACTACTGTATGATGCTCAGTGAAATTCTGAGTCTTGATGGATAATTTTGGGTGGTCATTCAGAATAGATGGGGACGGGCGAGTTTCAGCCTCTTGCTGCCAAAAACTCCTTTTCTTCATAATGGTTTTGAGATCTAAATACATTTTCTTTTCTTTTTTTTCGGGGGGGGGGTCACTGCAGATCACCTTCTAATGTTACCCCACGTGCAAAAATACTTGAAGTCCGTCCGGTATATTGAAGAGCTTCAAAAATTTGTGGAAGACGACAACTACAAGTAAGTAACAATTGCTTCATTTCAGCTGACTTCACGGGGTGGGGGGGGTCGGAGAGAAATATAGTCTAGACATCTACTTGGAGGATGGGGGGAAAAAACACTTTAAAAAAATTATCTCTGGCAAGGAAATTAAAAAATTTTTTTTTAAAAGTATCGGCAATTTTAAGTGACATTTCAGATCATTTCCGAAATAAAACCATTTCTTCCAAAACGAGGGATTATTTCTCTGAAGGCTTGTAATAAAAACTTGGTTCTGTCGAAAGAAACTCAGTGAGTGAGACAGCTAGACTAGACCGACAAATCCTTCGTTGAATTTTCTGTAGTCATCACATATGGTCTCATAAGTGATTCAGGCTGTCGCACCGTTTGTGAGCTGATCTTCATTAAGCAAACCCCAAAAAATAAAAAAAAAACCCGACAATCTCCACCACCACCACGACAAAAAAAAAAAAATCTGGATTGCTTTATGAGTGGGCGGCTGATGGGCTTGGGTGTACATGACACATTTCCGCAAGGGTGGTAAAATCCCCGTCGCTTGGAAAGGAAGCTGCGGCACGAAACGCTTGGGAAGAAAGACATTCTTCTCTGAATCCCAGCCCAGAAATCCTTTGGTGCATGGGGGTTTCAAAATATCAGTAGTCCCCGACTTACGGCAGCCCGTTTAGTGACCATTCAAAGTTACAACAGAACGTAGAACATAAAATGACAAGAGTTGGAAGGGACCTTGGGGTCTTCTGGTCCAACCTCCTGCTCGAGCAGGAGACCTTATACAATTTCGGACAAATCGTTGCCCAATCGATGGGCAAGGGTGGATGAGCCTTGGTGACGCAGCGGACTAAGTGCTGTTATGTAGCACTTAGCTGCCAGCTGCCTGCAATTAGTGCGAGTTCAAATCTCACCAGGCTCAAGGTTGACTCAGCCTTCCATCCTTCCAAGGTAGGTAAATTGAGGACCCGGATTGTGGGGGCAATAAGCTGACTTTGTAGAAACACTGCTTATGGGGGGGTCCAGAAGCCCTAATAAGCAGGTATATACAAAAGAATGAAGGCTATTACTATAAGTGCATTGTAAGCCGCCCTGAGTCTTCGGAGGAGGGCAGCATATAAATTGAACTAATAAATTGAATTGAACTAATAAATATCCAACACCTTCTTAAAAAGAACGAATCTGAGTAAGGGTATGGCTAGGTGATGAGAGCTAAATAGCTTGAAATAGATCTATACTAGTCTCCCTTTATTTCTTTATCAGCAAATATAAACTTGATACAAAATAGTTTGTCATGAAAGCGACTGCTTGAGGGCTCCTGGATTGGAGCTGAAAGGCAATAGGGAAGCAGGATGCTCCCTCCCACATATTGGGGTAGACTAGGTGCTTCGACAGAAAAAACACTTAATATGTAAATATGTATATATAGAGAGAAGGGGGAGGGAGGGATGATAGATAGATAGATAGATAGATAGATAGATAGATAGATAGATAGATAGATAGATAGATAGATAGAGATGGATGGATGGATGGATGGATGGATGGATGGATGATAGATGATATATATATAGAGAGAGAGAGGGGGGGGGAGGGATGATAGATAGATAAATAGATAGATAGATGATAGATAGATATGGATGGATGATAAATGATATATTTATATATATTTATGTATATGTATATAGAGAGAGGGGGAGGGAGAGATGATAGGTAGATGAGAGAGAGAGAGAGATGGATGGATGATGGATGGATGATAGAGAGATAGCTAGATAGGATGAGAGAGAGAGAGAGAGAAAAAGAGGATAGAGAGATAGATGATAGATACATCGAGAGAGGAAAGAGAAAGGAGAGATGATTGAGAGACAGGCAGACAAACAGACACAAAGAGGGAGAGAGAGAGGGAGAGAGATAATACTTATCTATGAGATGCAAAATAGTCAGCATTCATTTTGCTTTCTCTTCCCGTCGCCTGTTCTCCTTCTTAAGGCACAGTTTTTGTTTTTTGAGTTTTATTTATTTATTTTTTTAATCTTAACTTCTTGGGGGGCGGGGAGGGTTGTTTGTTTTGAGATTGTCGGGTTTTTTAAAGCCAGAAGTTTGGCACAGCTTTTTTTTCCTGTAAGACTTGGCCTTGCCGTGCCAGTTTTGTGCACAACCTCTGTCGGTTGTGTTGGCTCGCCAAGTGATTGCGGGTGTCGTTTGGGATCTTAACCCCTTGTCAATTTTGCAGGTTTGTTGTGGGGGGGGGGGGCTTCGTAGGCCTTGGGAAGCATTCTTCAGGCAGTAGTGAAATGTGTATCATCGCAGCCAGTGTGAGTCTTGTGTTGAGCTCTCTCGGCTGAATGCCAGAAGCCACATTGCTTAATTTAATTCTTGGACCGAGTTCCACATTCATGCGCGATGTTAAGATTACATATACAGTAGGGGTTGGTTGTTTTTTTCTTTTTCTTTTTATTAGCTTGGATATTCTGCATGGAACATAACATAACAAAGGGGGTTCTCTAAATATTTAGGGCCATGACATAATTTTTGGAAACGAGACAGAACATGAGTAATTTTTTTTTTCTCTTTCTCTCGCAAAAACACATTTTAAACCCCATGGAGGCTATTGCTAGCAACAGTGAGCTCTGTTTACATGTATTTTCCTAGAGGTCATCCAGCAGGCTTCCTTTTGATCTGAAAAATCCATGTCTTGATTAAATGTGCTGATTCTTTCCTTCCTTCTTTCCTTCCTTCCTTTCTTTCTTTCTCCTTCTTTCTTCCTTCCTTCCTTCCTTCCTTCCCTCCCTCCCTCTTTCTTTCTTTCTTTCTTTCTTCCTTCCTTCCTTCCCTCCCTCCCTCCCTCCCTCCCTTTCTCCCCCCTCCCTCCTTTTTTCTTTCTTTCTTTCTTTCTTTCTTTCTTTCTTTCTTTCTTTCTTTCTTCCTTTCTTCCTTCCTTCCCTCCCTCCCTTCCTCCCTCCTTCTTTCTTTCTTTCTTTCTTCCTTCCTTCCCTCCCTCCCTCCCCCC